TCATAAGCAGATTTATTATGAAAACCCTTCACATTTCTAAGGTGATGCATTTTATCAGCTGGTTGTTTGAGTCCTAGTGTGTCCCTCCAAGCTGTTTCACCTCTGTTCTGAACTAAGACTTCATAGCTATGAGCTCCTGGTATCTGCTTTCTCAGTGTTACAGCTTTCTGTCCCACTGTTAGCCTCTCCATGAGACCTTAGAGACAAGATTTTCCTTTTAGTCGTCCATCAGAGTTGAAGGGTATTGCTCTAGGGGAGCCTCAGGGAGCAGGAGATGAACAGGAGCCAAGATTCATTTCGAAACATCTGATCCAAGACAGCAGTGACCAAATCTGTTTGGGGATCGTTTCTGGGTGGTCCAGGTGTGCTCGTGCATTGAGGTCACAGAGTAAACAAGACAGAAGGCTGTGGGTTGAGCTTTGTGCCATTTATTGAGTCTCGCACTGTGCGAGGTTTGCCCTGCCTTGTAGCCTGTCCCAGGGACAGGCCACCCATCACTGTGGCATCGGGGGCCACTGCATGCAGCACATGTGGAAACGCTGTGGTTCATGGGCATTAAAGTCAGAACTCATCTTCAGTCTCTTTCCATCACCACCATTACCCACACGGCTATAACTCTTTAGTCAGATCAGTAAGATTTTAAACCATAATAAACCAAGTAAGGACTTAAATTTTAAACCCTTCTTCCCATTCAGAGGTACCTCCATAAGGAGCTGTTATAACACTGGACTGTCACATTTGATCATCCACGTTCTACCCAGGGCTCAGTGTGGTGCAGGCACCAACATTTGCAAAGCTACAATGGCTAGCACACAGCTTGCTTGCAGCAGCGCAAATACCTCCTCTGGGTCCCAGCCTGCGAGCGCCCCGCGGCAGCCTTATGGGCATGGGGGTTACCGGCTTGTTTACGACAGGAGGCAAATGACTTGGCTAAGGAAAGAAGTGAATGGTTGAAAGAGTCACCACAAGCAAGCAGAAGGATGAGTAGTGAAACCAGACTATCTGATGATAATCCTTTGCTTTAAACACTTTGGAAATTATTCCAGCTACAGGAGAAAGGGAGGGAGACAGCAGTTACAGAATGACAGTCATCTACATCAGTATCTCATACGTGGCGGAGCAAAGAGGGGTTTGGTTCTGGTTTTTTGGTGGTTGGTTGTTTGGTTATTTTCTGGTTGTTTTTTTTTTTTTTTCAAAAAATTAACCTACTACCAGCGTAAATGTGTAACTCAAGAAATGTTCTATGTCAGGAAGTTACAGATAATTGCTACAGTTTTAACAGGACTATAATGTGTGAGAAAGCAACATAAGTGGTTGTTATAAACGATATAAATTGTGGATATTTTTTGGTTTTAAAATATTTCCACTTTTAGACTTGTTTAGCTGCAATTCTCTGGTATTTTTCCCAGGTATAAAATAAGTTTCATTTTCTTTTTCTTTCTGTTTTTTTTTTTTTTTTGGTTTTTTTTTCCTAACTCTGGTATTCCACGCATGCAAGAAACAGCCATTTCACTTCTGTGGTTACTATTTTTTAATTTTTTTTTATTTCCCCAGAGTAGCTGACTTTTTTCCCCCTAGCACTGAGAATCAGTTTTAAGTGAAGTGTATCTCAAAGCATTTCTCAAGCGCTAATGCTCTCCATAGACTCCCTAGTTTTCAAAGACCATCTGGTCCTCTAAAACCCCATGCTGATAGGCGTGTGAAGAACAGTAATTTTTGTTTCATATGGGTGTTGTCAACCATAACTGTCAAAGAGTATTGTGGTCAGTCAGCCCATAGCTTGTGGTCTCACAGATGGGCTTAAAATAAACTCTGCTGAACCAAGATAGCTACCCAAACAGTGCCTTTCATAATCATACCAGTTAAATATAGCAACATGTTTTTATGCTTCTCTGACACTGTTCTTTCTTGCCATCATTCTTTTTTTATCTACCAAGTTTGAAGGAGCAGCTACTGTTTCAGATTCATTAGACTGAGAAATGAAACCTCCCACTTCCGCAGCAGATACGTTTGTGTGTGCTCGTGTAGTTATGGATATATAAACACCCAAAGAGTGTGCTGAGTCTTTGTGCACATGTAGAATGAGAAGTGGTGATATATGTATATATAATATCACCTTGAGGAATCATAACGAGGTGTCTTGCTGTATGGTGTCGTGTTTTCTGCCTACTCACCTTGAACTGCTTGTGATCCTTCCAGCTACTGCTCACCCCGCCTTCCAGCCCCACTTCTTGGGGAAATAGAAGCTAGGAATGTTTGGATACATTTGCTTCACTCGTACCTTTGCATTGCAATACCTGGTGATAAACTGACCATTTAACTGTCTCGTTGCATTCTTCTTGTTTAGCCTTTCTCTCCCAGACATACTGCACCAGCTATTCCATACCAATGAGCCCTGCCAGAGGCCCTGCAGGAGATCTCCAAAAGTGGTTTCTTACCTCTTCCAGCTCTGGAAGCTCTATCCAGAGAAATCACACAGATCTAAATGCGGAAACAATATTATTGATCCTTAACCCAGGAAATATAGAAGTCCTTTTACTAGATGTCATCGCAACCTTGTGGTGCCAGAAGAAAGAGCTTTATACTATTACAAGCATGAGCCCACATAAACTAGGCTAAAATGGGACTGGATTTTTGGCCAGGATACTTCTTATGTGTCAGATCTGATTTATTTAATATCATTAGCATAAACCAGCAATTTTAGTGAATTCTAAGCTGTACTGGGCTTAGAAATGTGGTTTCTCTCCATGCACTTGGAGGCAGAGATATGAACTGTTTTGAAAGATTTAAAGAAGGCTATCAATATAGAGAGAGATCTGTTGATTGTGGTGTTTTCTCTTTCCTTTTTTTTGTTATGTGACTATGTCTGTTCCCTGCTTCTTCTTTTTGGTCAGTGACCAGTTTATCACGTGTCCCATCATTAATATGGCCAGTCACTGGGCTGCTGCCTCCAGAGGAAATGTCTTCATGTACTACGTACCTGAGAGCTCCGCACAGAGCAGGTAAGGGAATGTATTTTATTATGTTTCTTGGATTTAGAATTTGTAAAACCTGAGCAGTCTGTTTGGGCACCCTGTGGAGTAAATGGTTAGGGGTAGGTACCTCAAATAAATAGTTTGGATTAGCAAAGGAGGGTTTGGGCTTTAATAGATTATTTCTCTCTGTTGACTGTTTCTGAATTTAGACACTTCAAGCTAGATGTCTAAATTAAGGTTCCCTTTTCCAAATTACCTACCTTTTCCAGTTCCAGATAGCGTTTTAGGTTTTTACTCTATATCTAATAAATCTCACACAAAGAATGAGAATGTGGTGTAAGTCATCGAGAGCCCACAGCTCTCAAGGTAAATGGGGTAAAATTTTCTAAGGACTCAACATTAATTTAACAGTGCCCCCTTTTGAAGTCAATGCAGTTGTACCACAGTTATACTGACTGGCCTTCAGTGTGGACAATGTCTGAGATTTATTCCTTCTTGCTCCAGCACTGTGACTTGTGATGAGCCGACAGACTGTTTCATGGGAAGATAAGTATGAAAGTTCTAAATTCCTGTGGGAGATGCAAATGCCTTGTTCCCCTGGACATAGAACAAGCTGGTAGTCAGAAGCTATTAGGGCAACCTTCCCTGGTTTTATTTTAGACTCAGCCACTCCCAGAAGTCAGGATGAGACACTGAGGTTTGCAGACGATGGTCAGCACTTTGGGCTGCTGTATGACATACCATGGTAGCTCCTGGTCGCTTGCTCTCAAAGGCTGAGTGATGAGAAACAGCAGTGAGTAGCCCCTCCTGTCCCCTAGATCCACACATCAGGGCAGCAAAGCAGACAGGGGTGCTTATCTTTTAGCTGTTTCCTTTGGAGGGAGCAGTGCTTGTCCCTTGCTGCCTGTACTGCCCCACACCTCTCTCCAAGAATGAGTTTTGAGACCCTTTCCTTTTTCTCAGGCTTTCTCTGAAAGGGCTCGGGGCAGGGACAACAAGTTCCTACTGGCACCATTTGATACCTGAGAACTACACGGGTATTTTTCCTTTCCTGATAGTGTAGTGAAAAAGCATTTGAAAGAAACCAGCCAAGATCTGGGTTACAGATGAAGGCCATTATGCTGCGGTAACACAGGCTCACTTTCTTTTTAGACGAGAAGAAGTTAATCCTCGGGGAGCTGTTATGCTGGCAGCTCCAGCGGGAATGTTCGCAGTGCTCCGTTTGGCTACCGATAGGCTCCGATAAGTGACTTTTGCAAGGCTCCAAACAGGGCTGAGCTATGGTATGCCAAAAATCCAGCCACACAGAAAGAAAAGATGTGTTCTCAAACTAGCTAGCAAGTTTTCTCTCGCTCTGGAGAATGATAGTGAGCCAGTCATCTACTATAAGATCTTATTTGAAAGTAGATGAAATAGTACTTATACAACGTAAGGTCACTGGCTTTGAGGCAGTGATTTTGATTTGATGAGAATTTCCTGTTCTGTCTAGCCCTATTTAAGATTTCTCTTGTGCTCGTGTTACTTAGCTGTCCTCACATTCACCAGTGCATTAGTAGTTTATACAGCACTTAGCTACACGTTTTAATAATATCTATGTCGTCAGTGGTCTTCTAAGCTAATGACTTTACATTTTAGTGCAAAACTTACTATTTCACTTTTTCACAACCCTCTTTAAAACCAAACAAAAGTAGTATGCTGTCTGAAACTTGTGCGAACGTGAGGCAGAGGCTCAAATGCCTTAGGCTAAGCCACTTGGAATGAGAAATGGGCCCAAACTGGTATGCTGCATTTACGTTCTTACTCCTTTCACCTTTATTTATACTGAAATACCATTCAAATCAATGTTGTTTAGGTTGCAAAGGCAAGCACTTTTAGAAATTGCAGAATTCAGCTTGTAAGTGTACTGAAAGATCTCATCTGACACTACGTGACTGTTTGTGAAGTGGTGCCCTCGTTTTCCCAAGGGACCCCACGCTAGGTCCTTTGCTGGGTATACCACGAGTTTTTTGTTTAGACATTGTTGCCTTTCATTCCTAAATGAATCCTTCCTTATTCTCCATCCCAGTTTTGCCAAGTGACCTCTCTCCTTCACCCTCCCTACAGCGTTCCCCCTCCATATAGTACACATGCACTGCAGGCTGTCCAGCAGCCTTACTGCACGCCAGTGAAGCAATGCTGTCGGGGGTAGGAGCTTCGCATGGGAGAGTGGCCTTAACTGCTAAAAACTGTGAGAAACCATCAGTGATCTGAAACTAACAAACTGCAGTGTTTGGGAATATTATTGGCGATTTGCCCTGCCAGATTAACACCAATGTTGTACATGAAACAGCCTTCAAGTAGAACATAGGAACTAATCTTGGGGAAAGATCTGGCAGCTACGTCACCAACTCCCAAGGGACTTCCCTAACCACTGGAGTAAGGAGTCTTGCCAGTTCTCAAGTTCTTCTTTGATAACTGTGACTCTGCTTAGTGGGAGCAGAGGCAGATACTCTGCTGAGTAACCTACAGCTTAGGCTGGAAGTTAGGATATGTGGGTTTGAACTTGCTCAGCAGAAGTGAGAACTGAATCTGGGACCCTGCAAACACTCTGGCTATGAAATTCCTGAATAGAAAAACCCTGTTACAGCCATTTATTTGTCTTAGTGAATGCAGTAACCAACAGTATGTTTTGCATAGGCTAGGCATGTACAGGATATTCTGTCAGTGCACATACTGAATCAGATACCCCTCAGTGCAATGTAGCTGAAGGAATACCTCACTAGATATTCCCGATCACTCACAGACATTTGACAGGAAAATGATTTCTCAGCACGTTTGATATTGAATCACATCTGTTTGCTGGGATACAGACCTTCATTTGTAAAAATGGAAACTTCTATAATGTTATGTCCATAGGGTAACATAAGAGATGAAGTAATGATTTTTTTGGTCTTTGGTGTCTGAATTCTTCCTGAGATGTCAGACAGGATACAGACATTTCCCTCTTTGTGTGTGTTATCTGTATCATAAAGATGATGATGATGATGATAATATAATTATAGATTATCTAAAATAACTACTAATAGCTACCTTACAGGGGTATTGGAAAGAGTACGTTAAAATAATATTGTGTTCAGATAATTCCAACAACGGAAGACTATTTACTCTTCGGCAAAATATTCTGGCTGGGGAAATGGCCATTCAGTAATTAAGATAAGGCACAGTGTTGCAGCGCATTCTCTAATTTCTACTCTGCCACCTCTCTCCTACTTCATGTGTGTGTCCCAAGATGTGTAACAGAACAGTGAGTTAAAATGCAGAAATGAAAAAGTACTGGTATTTCCTCTTGTTTCACGTGGAGCAGTCCCTTAATAACTCACAGCAAGATAAACAAGAGGGACAGAGATGTCAGCCAGTAAAGACAGACCCAACCGCAATGATGCGAAGTAGTCAAAAAGTTATTAAACAGTGAGAAATTTTTACCAGTACAAGTCAATTAATGAAAGTTTGTCTCACAACTGGATGTTTCCAGAATATACACACACACACACACATTCAGGCATGCAGAGATGCAGGGGTAGGATTTAAAAAGCCACATTACACTGATGTCTATGACATGTGGAAAATCACATAAACCCACAAACTGACAGTTTTCATATACATGAATGGATCTTGCAGAGAGCAAAGTAATATCTCCTCCCACGTGGTAGCATTCTCCCCAAGCTGGCATAAACCCATGTCTGCTTTAGTCTTCAGCTCCTATTTGAATAAGGAGCAGGATGCATAGCCAACTCCCGCATTAATGATCTGTGGTAAAAATATGTACATAACCCAGATGCCATTTTCTCACTCTCTTTTTGAGAACACTTAGGCCTTGGAGTAAACATTTATTCTAAACAATGCAGGAGGAATGTGACTGCTCAGCATTGCCTAGGATTAGTGGGGAGGGCTGAGGTATAGCTTTAGTTACAGTAAAGAAATACATGATAGGAAAAGTATGTTTTCACAAGGACAATGTTATTAACTGTACAAAGATTTACTACTTTAACTCTTCAAGAGGTTTCTGGGTGATTTTTGTATATTGTATGAAGTAGCACTGTTTGCCATGCCAGCATAGTTTCCAAGTCACACTGTGGTGCCAAATGTGCTGTCTTAAAGATGGTGGGTAAAAATCAGTGCTCTGCTCACTGAGGAGGTCAGATCATGACGTGCAGCAGAATGGGAAAGCATTATTGTCATTGAAGTCTAAACTGAGACTTAATGAGGCTCTATCTTATAGTTGTTAACATTACCATAATAATTGTCAAAAAAGCTTTTGCTAACGGTAGTGCACTGGACAGATTTATCCAAGATTAATCAGCTGCTGTCTGTTTTGAGTCATTTTAGTTGGGGCTGTCTTTACCTCCTGGTTATGCACTCTTGTGTACATTGGTGTGAGTTGTTAAAAGACTGCTCCATGCCAATGCTCACATAGTTGGCTGGATTTCGGTGACACGTTTTATAATTCCTGTAACTGAAGGAGACAACTCCTGACTGATAAAAAAAATAAATAAAAGTTTGTGTATAAACCCGTTCAACTATGCAAATTATTTCTGTTTTCTATTTATTATATATGCTGTGCTAATTCTGTTTCTAATATCCCTTAAAGGAGATTTTTTCACTCTTTCGATTTTGTAATAATCATACCCCTGTCCTTTTATCTGTCCACCACTTCTTGTCCTCTTGATGCTTTCCTCCTGACTGTAGCTGTTAGTCCATGAGTACAAACGCTCCATAGGTTGGGAGGCCACAGTGTGAACTGGGTACTGTAGAGGCAGACAGAAAGTTATGTCTCTGGGCTTTGAAGAAACTCATCTAAACACAGAGAGCAGGTAAGGCACCGCAGCGGTGGAAATAAGAACGATAAGATGCACCTTGCCTTCATAGCTGGGTAAGCAACACAATCACCTTAGGTAGCTACATATTATTCTACAACGACAGCTTGTAATTTTTCTCTGTAAAGCTGTACTCTCATCTCCTAAAAGTTGTTTTTCTCTTCTTGTTGGAACTGCCTCTTATCCCTCTGGCCTTATCTATAGTGTTATGCCAGCAGCAGCTATGAAAACACTCTCCCACTGATTCAATCACATCATGCCATTATCAAGTCTTTAGACAGTTTCTATGTTGCTAAAGGCTTGAGATCTAGAAAATTTGTTTTTTCTTCTGATTAGAGTGGTTTAGGGGCCTTTACCATTCAGTAGCTTTTTCAGATTTTGGAAATTAGCCATAAATATGCAAAGGGAAAGTAGCAAGCTCAGAAAAAACAGAAATCATTTTCAAATTAACCAAAATTCAGCTAAAAGACTCAGAAAAGTGCAAAGCAATTTTTTGAACTGTATGTGCTGCACTTGGACAGGCTGTTCCCACAAAATGTAATCTTGAACATAAGCACAACGTTCTAGACAGAGGTCTAGTGAGACATTCCTTGGTTCTCTGGGGTCTGTGGATGGACACATCTTTTTAAGGAAATTCATCTGTTCCTTCAGCTCAAGAGTAGGCATACTGAACAAACGTAAGAATTTATGTCCACCAAAGATGCACTCAAGTGCCAACATGCCTATTGCTAGGCTTTTAATATAGTAATTTCCTGACAAAATTCTGTATTCTGTGTTATTTAGGAGTTCTGACTAGATGATAGAAGTGCTTTCTTCCTGCATGAAGATCTATGATTTTTTTTTTTTTTCAATTAATGTGAGCTTTCAGGTTCTTGAATTTATTATCTGCTACTTCAGTTTTATTTTCTTCAATTGGTACAGCTATAATGCAAAGTAGAACATTGCGTGTATTGGGAGTAACCCAAGTGGAAAAGACACAGCAAACTCCAGGATACTTCTGCAAGTCACATATATCAATCGGGCTTCTTTGGTACAAAGGTGAATAAACTTGGCAGTTTAATCCCTTTAGGAGTTAAACTTTTTCCACATGTCCTGATTTTCCTGAAAAGAAGAAAGAAAAAAAGAAAAATGTTCATCTGTTTTTCACATGCTTTCCTACATTTGTTTGGCAGGACTGTGTAATGTGAGGAGGCAGAGTGAGCCAAATGCATCCCTAGAACTGCAGAGGTCATGCCAGGCCTTACATTGGCCCATGAAATTTCTATAAAAATCC